TGTAGGTGAATGAGGGGGTGACCTTATTGAGGTATATAAAATCATGAAGGGCACAGTTAGGATGAATGCATATCGTCTTTTTCCCAGGGTTGAGGAGTTAAAACTCAAAGTCATAGGTTTAAGGTGAGAGGGGAAAGATTTAACGAGGACCTGAGGGGCAACTTCTTGGAGAGTGGTGGATGTATGGAATGGGCTGCCAGAACAAGTGGCTGAGGCAGTTACAATCACAACATTTAAAAAACATTTGGATAGGTACACGGAAAGCAAGGGTTTGAGAGGGATATAGACCAAATATCCCTCTTGTTTGGGTAATTCGAACTAGCTGAGTGGGAACCATGGTCAGCACGGATCAGTTCGAGCTGAAGGGCCTGTTTCCATGCTGTATTATTCTATGACTCTAAATCTCCAGGTCCTGCTCTAGTGCATTCCATCATATTGTGATAAGTTAAAGAGAAAACGTGGGGCACCTTGCAGAAATACTGTATCATCTATAACTACAGGTGACGTGCCAGATGACTGGAGAATGGCTAATGTTGTGCCTTTGCTTAAGGGATGTAAGGAGAAACCTGGGAACTACAGACCTGCGAGTCTGACTTCGGTGGTGGGTAAGTAGTTGGAGGTAATTGTGAAAGATATGATTTACGTACTTAGAGAGGCAAGGAACAATTGGGATAGTCAGCATGTTTTTATGCAGGGGAAATTGTATTTCAAACTTGACTGAGTTTTTTGAGGAAATAACAAAGAAGATTGTTGAAGGCAGAGCAGTAGACATTGTTTACTTTGACTTTAGTAAAGCCTTTGACAAGGTTCTACATGGTGGACGCATCAGTAAAGTTAGATCATATGGGATTCAGGGTGATTCAGGTTTGTCAATTGGACACAAAATTGCCTTAATGACAGGAGACAGGGACTGGTGGTGGCGGATTGCTTTTCAGACTGGAGGCCTGTTACCAGCAGTGTTCCACAGGGATTCGTGCTGGGTCCAATTCTGTTTGACCTTTTACGTAATGATTGAGATGAGAATATAGAAGGCATGGTTAGTAAGTTTGCACATGACACCAAAATAGGCAGCATAGTGGACAGTGAAGAAGCTGTCCAAGATTAGAAAGACATCTTGATCTATTGAGTCAATGGGCTGAGGAATGGCAGGTGGTGTTTAATTTAGATAAGGGCAAGTTATTGCATTTTGGTAAAACAAACAAGAGCAGGACTTGCACAATAAAAAGTAGGGCCCTGGATAGTGTTGTAGAACAGAGACACCAAGGGGTTCAGGTGCATCACTGCTTGATTTTTGCATTACATGTGGACAAGGTGGTTAAGAAGGTGTTTAGTCTGCTTACCTTCATTGCTCAGACGTTTGAGAGGAGTTGGGATGTTATGTTGAGCTTGTACAGAACGTCAGTGAGGCGCCTTCTGGGGTAATGTGTCCACTTCTGATCGCCTGTTATATGAAGGATATCATTAAGCTGGAAAGGGTTCAGAAAAGATTTACCAGGAATGGAGGTTGAGTTATAAGGACTAGCTGGATAGGTTGAGACTTTTTTCACTGGAGTCCAGAAATTGGAGGGGTGACTTACAGACATTTATATAATCATGAAGGGTATAGATAAGGTGAATGGCAGGTGCCTTTTCTCGAGGGTGAGGGATTTCAAGACAAGGGGGCATATTTTTAAGGTGAGAGGAGGAAGATTTAAAAAAGACTCGAGGCAATTTTTTTTTTTTTTAAAAACACAGAAGTGGTTCATGTTTGTAATGAACTTCCTGAGGAAGTAGGGAATGTGGGCAAAATTACAACATTTAAAAGACATCTGGATAAGTACATGACTCGGAATCGTTTGGAGGGATATGGGCCAGGAGCAGGCCGGTGGGGCAAGTTTAACTTGGAATTATGCTTGGCATGGACTGGTCGGACCAAAGGTAGGGCTGGTATGATTAGAGAACAATGGATTAATAAAGATATTGAGGCGCTAATCAAGAATGAAAAAGAACCATATTAGAGATAGACAACTAGGTTCAAATGAACTTCTTGAATAGTATAAAAAGTGT